GGTAAACAGTAGGGACCAAATCAGGGATTTATTTAGTTCAGGGACCAAATCGGGGGTCCGTACAATAGTTCAGGGACCAAAAAGGGGTTTTAACCAAAAAAAAAAACTCACCTCTTCGTTCACAACACTAAATCTTAAATTTTATTTAAAGAGAATTAAATTTTTTTCATTGACATCAATAAATTGTTGGTAATTTATTGGATTCCATTGGCTATAAAATAAATATTAATTTTTATTTCATAATTCAATTTTTTTTCAATCTCAAGAAAAAAAAGGAAAAAAATTAGTGATTATATAAGTGAAATTAAAATATATGTCAAATATATAATACTTATACAATATTTAAAATTTATAATTTTATAAAGGTGTTAACTTTCATTAAAAAAAAGACATGAAGGACTAGAGTTCAAAAGATAAATCAAATATATATATATTAATATATAGTGCATATTCAATATTTATAAGAATATTATACAAAAAATATAGTTTTATTTAATATTTAGGAGGGTATTATATAAAAAAATATAACCTTATTTAATATTAAAGTTTAAAAAACAAATCTAAAATATGTCTAACCAAATATATGAAGAAATTGGATCAAAATTGATTTTTATTAATTAGGAATAAATTAGCAACTAAGAATGAATTTTGATGTTTTTGTCTTGATACTTCCAATGGTTATGATGGTATCTCAACTACTGGGTTTTGATTTTTAGTAGGTATTCTTACTTTTTATTTTTTTAAAATGAACATTTTTTTGATGTTATATAACATAACTCACTATGTGCTAATTAATCTAATTTTCTACACGAGTGCCACAAAAAAAAAGAATTATAGAGCTTGAGATGAAAAAAGGGAGAGCGAGAGTGGAAAGGAGGAAAAATTGAAAGAAAGTGAAATTAATGAGAAATTAGGGTTTGAGTATTTTATTTATTTTTAATTTTAGAATTAGAAATTTAAAAATTTAAAATTAATTTTTAAGTAATCTAATAAAAAAAATTGTGTCATTTTGGGTAACTTAATTTTTTTTTTGATATGGATCACTCGATATTTGGAAGCCTATTGAACCACCGATTAATTCGGATTCGAGTCAGATAGGACCCAACGAGACAGCAAAACTCTTTTTTTCTCACGAGTTTTAACGGAACTACATTCTCAGAGTTTAAAATTAAGACCTCTAATTAAATTTAAAGAGGTTTTTACTAATTCATCCATTTACTTATGAATTTTACGTAACTTAATTCATTCATAATTTAATTTATTTAAATTCAAATAATTTCAAATTTTAAATTAATATATAAGACTCCTCATCTTATTCACGATGAATGAATTAAATCAAAATTTTGAATTCAATCTAATTTTGTCAGGTATACTCCGAAGTCTTTGGCCTTCTATGAAAGCACTTTGACCAGACTGGACTACCAAATACCGTGTTTTGCTGCCGTTTTATCACTTTCTCATCAGACCGCAATAGCCGACCTCATCGATCAAATCAACTTTGCGGTTTCGCATGGACCACTGATTCATTCCAATAAAAAGAGAATAAAAAAAGAAAATGTAGCTTTAATGCTACGAAAGAAATTTTTTTTAACGTTAGGGTGGGGCTTAAATTTGACCCGTGATAACCTTTGTACGAGAATTTCTTTATAAAATAAAGGTAATTACTGTATCAAGAGGAACAGTTTGTTTTCATTCATGGATCTTGTGTTACAACTGTTTAGATTTTGTAAGTTATGTGTTTAAATTTTATAAATTTTTTTAAAATTAATATGTAAATAATTTTAATTTATTAAAAAAATTAAATCAAGAAAATGTTTTCTAATAGTAAAAATGAATTGATATTAAGAGACATTCCCAAAGTTTAATATTAAACTTTTGTCTCCAAGTCTTCGGCCTTTTACGAAAGCGCTTTGACCAGACTTATAGTTTGGGGCCCATAAAATGGGCCTTCAGGTTTCTTTATTTCCCTATTTCCTTCCATTGCCTATTTTCAGAAAAAAAAAAAAGAGAAGTTATTTCCTTGGAGACTAATCTTTGAGTAATTTGCATGTCCAATTCCAAAGCCATGTCTGAAACAAACTTTGAGCTATGCGGTACATTGCTTGCCACCAGCCTCACCAAAGCCCAGAAGCGGTGGCGCATTGCCTGCACTACTATCTATTCAATCCGGGTAATGCTGTCTCTTGCCAGAGAGATTATATCCAGGAGGAACAAAGACCACTCTGAAATCCTGCTTTCCGAAACTTATGTTGCCCTGCCCATTGAGCCATCCAACGTCGAGTGGAAATCTGTGTCTAACGTCAAGCGCAAATCTGTGTCTTTCTCTGTTTCAGGCGTTGATAAGAGTAAACTATTCAAGACCGTGAAAGAAAAAGATATTTCCTCTCTTGCCGAACTCGGTGGAGTTGAAGGTGTTGCAGCTGCTCTAAGGACGGACCCAAAAAATGGGATCGGAGATGATGATGAGGAAATTAGGAGAGGGCAGGAAATTTTTGGCTCAAACACGTACCAGAAGCCGCCGCCAAAAGGGCTGTTTTATTTCGTCGTGGAAGCTTTCAAGGACACGACAATTATCATTCTCCTGGTATGTGCCGCTCTTGCTCTTGGGTTTGGGATCAAGGAACATGGCGGCAAAGAGGGATGGTATGAAAGGGGTAGCATTTTTGTTGCCGTCTTCCTGGTGGTGATCGTCTCTGCTTTCAGTAATTTCAGACAGGAAGTTCAGTTTGACAAGTTATCGAAGATAAGTGACAACATCGAAGTGGATGTTGTCAGAGACGGTCGCCGGCGACCCATTTCCATATTCGATCTCGTTGTTGGTGATGTTGTGTATTTGAAGATCGGAGATCAAATTCCAGCTGATGGGTTGTTCTTGACCGGCCATTCTCTGCAGGTGGACGAGTCAAGCATGACAGGGGAAAGTGATCATGTCGAAGTAGACTCTGTTCACAACCCGTTCTTGTTATCCGGATCGAAGGTGGGTGATGGGTATGCCCAAATGCTGGTGGTGTCTGTCGGAATGAACACAGCCTGGGGTGAAATGATGAGCTCGATCACCCGTGATACCAATGAAAGAACGCCGTTACAAGCTTGGCTGGACAAACTCACTTACTACATAGGAAAGGTAGGAAATATCTTTTTCTTTCACGGTCTTGAATAGTTTACTCTTATCAACGCCTGAAACAGAGAAAGACACAGATTTGCGCTTGACGTTAGACACAGATTTCCACTCAACGTTGGATGGCTCAATGGGCAGGGCAACATAAGTTTCGGAAAGCAGGATTTCAGAGTGGTCTTTGTTCCTCCTGGATATAATCTCTCTGGCAAGAGACAGCATTACCCGGATTGAATAGATAGTAGTGCAGGCAATGCGCCACCGCTTCTGGGCTTTGGTGAGGCTGGTGGCAAGCAATGTACCGCATAGCTCAAAGTTTGTTTCAGACATGGCTTTGGAATTGGACATGCAAATTACTCAAAGATTAGTCTCCAAGGAAATAACTTCTCTTTTTTTTTTTCTGAAAATAGGCAATGGAAGGAAATAGGGAAATAAAGAAACCTGAAGGCCCATTTTATGGTCCCCAAACTATAAGTCTGGTCAAAGTGCTTTCGTAAAAGGCCGAAGACTTGGAGACAAAAGTTTAATATTAAACTTTGGGAATGTCTCTTAATATCAATTCATTTTTACTATTAGAAAACATTTTCTTGATTTAATTTTTTTAATAAATTAAAATTATTTACATATTAATTTTAAAAAAATTTATAAAATTTAAACACATAACTTACAAAATCTAAACAGTTCTAACACAAGATACATGAATGAAAACAAACTGTTCCTCTTGATACAGTAATTACCTTTATTTTATAAAAAAATTCTCATATTAAGATTATCAAAGGTCAAATTTAAGTTCCACCCTAATGTTTAAAAAAATTTTCTTTCGTACCATTAAAGGTACGTTTTCTTTTTTTATTCTCTTTTTATTAGAATGAATGAGTGGTCCATGCGAAACCGCAAAGTTGATTTGATCGATGAGGTCGGCTGTTGCGGTCTGATGAGAAAGTGATAAAACGGCAGCAAAACGCGGTATTTGGTAGTCCAGTCTGGTCAAAGTGCTTTCATAGAAGGCCAAAGACTTCGGAGTATACCTGACAAAATTAGATTGAATTCAAAATTTTGATTTAATTCATTCATGTGAATAAGATGAGGAGTCTTATATGTTAGTTTAAAATTTGAAATTATTTAAATTGAAATTATTTGAATTTAAATAAATTAAGTTATGAATGAATCAAGTTACGTGAAATTTATAAGTGGATGGATGAATTAGTAAAATTTTTTTTAAACTTAATTAGAGGTTTTAATTTTAAACTTTGAGAATGTAGGTTCGTTAAAATTCGTGAGAGATAGAGAGTTTTGCCATCTCGTTGGGTCCTACTTGACTCAAATCCGAATTAATCGGTGATCCAATAGGCTTTCAGATATAGAGTGATTCATATCAAAAAAAAAAATTAAGTCACCCAAAATGACACAATTTTTTTTATTAAATTACTTAAAAATTAATTTTAAATTTTTAAATTTTTAATTCTAAAATTAAAAATAAATAAAATACTCAAACCCTAATTTCTCATTAATTTTACTTTCTCTCAATTTTTCCTTTTTTCCACTCTCGCTCTCCCTTTTTTCATCTCAAGCTCTATAATCCTTTTTTTTTGTGGCACTCGTGTAAAAAATTAGATTAATTGGCACATAATGAGTTATGTTATATAACATAAAAAAAAATGTTCATTTTTTAAAAATAAAAAGTAAGAATACCTACTAAAAATCAAAACTCAGTAGTTGAGATACCATCATAACCATTGGAAGTATAAAGACAAAAATATCAAAATTCATTCTTAGTTGCTAATTTATTCCTAATTAATAAAAATCAATTTTGATCCAATTTCTTCATATATTTGGTTAGCCATATTTTAGATTTGTTTTTTAAACTTTAATATTAAATAAGGTTATATTTTTTATATAATACCCTCCTAAATATTAAATAAAACTATATTTTTTGTATAATATTCTTATAAATATTGAATATGCACTATATATTAATATATATATATTTGATTTGTCTTTTGAACTCTAGTCCTTCATGTCTCTTTTTTTAATGAAAATTAACACATTTATAAAATTATAAATTTTAAATATTGTATAAGTATTATATATTTGACATATATTTTAGTTTCACTTGTATATTCACTAATTTTTTTTTTCTTGAAATTGAAAAAGAAATTGAATTATGAAATGAAAATTAATATTTATTTTATAGCCAATGGAATCCAATAAATTACCAACAATTTATTGATGTCAGTGAAAAAAATTTAATTCTCTTTAAATAAAATTTAAGATTTAGTGTTGTGAACGAAGAGGTGAGGTTTTTTTTTTTTTTTTATGGAACCTGATGGAACCGAAGTTAATTATCGGATATTAAAAATTTAATAGCAGAAATGAACTCTAACAAATTTCTTACATTTTGAGTTAAATTTTTTTTTATTGTTTTCTTAAGTTAATCTTCTCGTATTTAAAGATTAATTTCTCCCTAAGTCATTTTAATATTAAATTATAATTAATATAATTTTTAGTTATTAAATTATATAAAAATATAAAATATAATATTAATTTTAATATTAACATTACCTATATATTTTTAAGGATAGAGAAAAATCATTATCTTTTGGTAATTAAAAAACTAAAATAAAACGATCTTTTTGAGCCTTTAATCAAAATTTAAGAAATAATTTTTTAAAGAGATATGATATTTTTAAATATTAAGACGTTTTTAATATTCTTAATAGATTAGTTAAAAATTTTAAATTAATGAAAAAAATGCCTTAATAAATCACAAGAAAAACTCATATGGAAAAAGCATAAAAAGGACGTTTGCACCTTCCAAATGCGGTTTCTGGGTCTGAACCTGAGGTTTCTGGGAGTCCTATTGTTTCCTCAAAAATCCTTAGTCGGCTTTTACTACGTGAGTTTGGTTATTAAGCGTGCCACTTGCTTTGTCTAAAAACAAGAAAATAGGATTTTTCAGACGACCCTTTTCCTTTCCAGCGGTAGACCTCCAATAGGATGGCTGGAAAGAATGTCTGTGAAATGAATTGCGCCCCAGACGATGTTGCAAAACAGAGGGTAGAGTTCTGCAAAGTGGGTTACTAATTGCCTTGGAAACCTCTAAGGACTTAACAACCAAACAAGTGTAATAAAAGTTACAAATCCTAAAATAAATACAATATCCTAAGGCAATTAAACTAACATAAAGTAAATAACAGAAAATAACATGCCATAAAGGTTGAATTCGCAGACAACAGAAAAAGTAAAATAACAGACAATGATTTCAACTACGCAGCCCATAATGATAACTAAAACTAAAGAAGAAACTATGAAATGATTAACGTCTGGAAATTTATAAATTTAAATCTGAAAATTGAAATTAAACAAATTGCATGTCTGGATATTGTGCAGAAACAAAAGAACAAAGGTAGAAAACGTTCATCCTATTTACATGAACGAATAACATAAATAAATCCATAAAAGGAAGAAGAACTAACCGAATTAAAAGGGCAGACCTGTTTTGAAGGCTAAGTTGCTTCCAAATGTTCAAAAACTAATCTAAATTGGAATTTGCAGAAGAAAATATGAACAAAGATGAACAAACTTAGGCTAAGGCTATGAACTAATCTGGAAAATCTAAAAAATCTGGAAACTATTGCTGAAATCTGAAAAATGCAGTCTGAAAGTTGAAAAACATGCTCTGGGCAGTCTGTGTGTGTGTTGGGCAGGCCTCAAACTGTTCTCTTCTCTCTGTATTTATTTTTTTCGGTGCTGGTAACTTTCTCCATGATCTTTGGTACTGTTCCTCGATTTTCGGCATTGTTCCTCCATGATCTGGTAATGGGATTACAGGTCTGGCAGTTATTTAATAGTTATCTGATTTTTATTTAACCTTATCTCCAACAACCTTAAAGATAACTACCTAAAAATCCTCAATTTCCCATTTTAAATCAAACTCAAACTACCATATCCAATTTTATCTTCTGCCACCTAAGATCCAACCTCCTTGGAAATCCGTCTGGGCCGTTAAATTGTAAGCCAGCCCAGCCCAGCCCAAATCCAGCCTATTGATTTTCTTGATAATTAGGCTTTACCTTGACACGTGGCCTTACCCTATTGATTTATTTTAGGTGTAAACAATGCCCCCCAACGCTTGGTTTTATGGGAATAAATCCAAGTGTTTAAATTTTGAATTACCTTTCAGGCTTCAGACTCCAAAGGCCACGTGCAAAATCTGGCTGCAGAATCTGGCTCAGACAGCTTCTTGGGACTCTAAGCCTCTTGCCTCCCAGACTATGGGGTAATAAGGCTTGAGATAAATTCCATTAATTTTTCTGGGATGAAGCTCTCCATCAAGTGACTCTAACCAATAAGCACCCCCTCTCAACACTTCATGAATTCGGAATGGTCTTTCCCAATTTGGAGACCATTTCCCAAATCTGTGAGCTTTCTTGCCAAGAGGTAAAATTGCTTTCCAGACCAAGTCACCAACTGCCAGATTTTTACCTTTTACTCTCTTGTTGTAAGACTTTGCAATTTTGAGTTTTTGAGCTTGCAATCTATCCAAAGCTGTCAAACGTGAGTCTTCAAGGTCCTCAAGCTCAAGCATCATGGCCTCATCATATTCTCCAAACTGGAGATTATGCTGAATCACCACTCTTAAAGACATGGCTGTTAGCTCAATTGGCAAGACTACGTCATGGCCATATGTCAAGGCAAAAGGTGTCATCTTGGTTGAACTCCTTTGTGAAGTTTTATAAGCCCACAGTGTTTCAGACAACAGTTCATGCCAGCATTTGGGGTTGTCATCTACCATTTTTTCAAGCAAAGTAATCACCACCTTATTAGAAGCCTCTGCTTGCCCATTAGCTTGTGCATAATGAGAAGTAGAATTTAACAGACGAAAACTTATTTCCTTTGCAAATGCCTCCACTTGATGGCTGACAAAACCTGTGCCTTGGTCTGTGGTAATTGTTTCTGACAGACCAAATCTGTGAATAATGTCCTCTTTGATGAACTTGATTACATCAGATTGGTCTACCTTCTTCATTGGTTTAGCCTCCACCAATTTGGTAAAATAATCTGTTGCCACTATAATAAATGAATGACCTTTTGATGACGGAGGATACACCTTACCAATTAAGTCAATAGCCCAGCCTCGAAATGGCCATGGTTTCACAATAGAGTTAAGTTCAGAGGCTGGAACTCTTTGAAGTGGCCCATGGATCTGACAAGATTTGCAGCCCTTAACATAAGCAATACAGTCTTTCAAGACAGACGGCCAAAAGAAACCATGTCTGCGAATCAACCAGCGCATCTTGATCCCAGCCTGGTGTGCACCACAAATCCCATCATGGACATCAGACAGCATCTGGAAACTTTCATATGGACCCAGACAACGTAGCAGTAGTTCATCGTGGCCTCTCCTATAAAGCACATCCTCAATCAAAACATAATTGAGAGCTTACATTTTGGTTTTCCTAGATACCTTTGTGCTTTGATCCTTAAGGTACTGAATAATTGGAAAGCGCCAGTCTGTTTGAGTAACATCAATGCTGCAAGTAGAAATTGTCATGCCACGTTGATGAATTGATGGCAGACTGCACTTTTCAACTATAACAACTTTTTGCATCAAACCTTCAGGAATTTGCAGACCTAAAGCAATCTGGGCCATTTCATTAGCTTCATAATTCTGGTCTCTAGGCACGTATCAGATAATTGCTTCAAGACTAGTTGTGAGTCCCCTATAACCTCAACCATGGATACTTTAAGCTCCACCAATATCTCAAGACCAATAATCAAAGCTTCATATTCTGCTTGATTATTTGTGCAATCAAAATCCAGCTGGAAAGACATCTGTGTTTTTAGCCCAGACGGGAAGATAACCACGACTCCAGCTCCAGACATGGTCTCTGTACTAGATCCATCAAAAATAAGTATCCAGGGAACTAAACTTATTGAAAACAAGTTAATCCCTTTTTCTTCATCTGCTTCCACGTCCAGACATGGATGATCTGCAAGAAAGTCTGCCAGTGCCTGCCCTTTGACTGCCTTCTGTGGTATATACTTCAAATTAAATTCAGACAAGGCCAGAACCCATTTACCTATTCGGCCTCTTAACAAAGGGCGGGACAACATATATTTGACAATATCAGTCTTGGCAACCACATACACCTCAGAATAAATCAAATAATGTCTTAATTTTATTGTAACAAAAAAGAGAGTAAGACACAACTTTTCGACCGAAGAGTAATTCACTTCGGTCTGGGTCAAACACCGACTCAAGTAATACACAGCCTGCTCCTATTTTTTATCATTTTCCTGTGCCAGCAGACATCCTATGGACTCGTCTGCAACGGATATATACAAAATTAAAGGCTTATTTTTCACAGGCGGTACAAGTACTGGTGGTCTGGATAAGTACTGCTTTATCATATCAAAGGCAAACTGGTGGTGTTCTTCCCACTTAAAATCTGCCTCAGACTTGAGTTTCAACAGAGGAGAAAAGACTCTGGTTTTCCCAGTCAAGTTAGAAATGAATCGTCTTAAAAAATTAACTTGGCCAAGAAATCTTTGCAACTCCTTGTTCTGTGGTGGTTTCGCCTCAATCACAGCCCTAGCTTTGTTCTTGTCAACCTCCAGACCACGCTCATGCACCAAGTACCCAAGGAAGTTACCTGCAGACACTCTAAAGGCACACTTTAGTGTGTTCATTTTCAAGCCATGTTGCCTCATCCGCTCAAAAGCTTTCCTCAAATGGACCAGGTGGTCTGCTTCCCCATGTGACTTCACCACAACATCATCAATATAAATTTCCATGAATTTACCAATCATATCATGAAAAATTGTATTCATGGCTCTTTGATAGGTAGCTCCAGCATTCTTCAGACCAAATGGCATCACAACCCATTCAAAAGTTCCAACAGCACCTAGGCATCGAAAGGCTGTCTTTGGGATTGGGGCTTCCTGAATCTGTCTGGGCATTTCAACGACTGGAGGAGGAATCTCAGGTCTGGGCTGTCGCACTTGCTCAACCACTTGTTTTGAAACAGTCTGTAGTGTTCTACGACTTTCTTCCCCAGTTTCTCGCATCACCCTAGTGCTTTCCTCAAAGACCCGTCTCATGTCTTCCATACATTGTCTAATTATCTCTTCCTGACGTCTGGAGGATTCTGCTTAACTCTCAACCAGTCTCTGCATAGTCTGGTTCTTTTCTTTGAATGTTAAATCCAGACGTTCCATCATACCTCTAAACATATTACTTGATTCAGCAAAGTCACCCCCACGGTCTGCTTCTTTCTCCTTAAATACTGAATTCCCATAGGATCGTTCTACCAGAGGTGACACTGGGAGAAAATTGATGGGATCATTTTCACCCTCAGAGTGGAGTGGACTGTCATCTGCATGGTCAACCTGGGCTGGCTGAACCTCTTTGTCTCTGCTCTTTCTCGGTGGCATGGCTCCAGACGCTTCTAGATATATAAACAGAGGGTCTGTGAACTTTAATTGATACACCTTGCTGGAGGTCCCACTGGGCGTGCCAACAAGGGATTGTTTCCTCAAAAATCCTCAGCCGGCCTTTACCACGTGAGTTTGGTTATTAGGCGTGCCACTTGCTTTGTCTAAAAACAAGAAAATAGGATTTTCCAGACGACCCTTCTCCTTTCCAGCGGTCGACCTCCAACAGGATGGCTGGAAAGAACGTCTGTGAAATGAATTGCGCCCCAGACGATGTTGCAAAACAGAGGGTAGAGTTCTGCAAAATGGGTTACTAATTGCCTTGGAAACCTCCAAGGACTTCACAACCAAACAAGTGTAATAAAAGCTACAAATCCTAAAATAAATACAATATCCTAAGACAATTAAACTAACATAAAGTAAATAACAGAAAATAACATGCCATAAAGGTTGAATTCGCAGACAACAGAAAAAATAAAATAACAGACAATGATTTCAACTACGCAGCCCATAATGATAACTAAAACTAAAGAAGAAACTATGAAATGATTAACGTCTGGAAACTTATAAATTTAAATCTGGAAATTGAAATTAAACAAACTGCATGTCTGGATATTGTGCAGAAACAAAAGAACAAAGGTAGAAAACGTTCATCCTATTTACATGAATGAATAACATAACTAAATCCATAAAAGGAAGAAGAACTAATCGAATCAAAAGGGCAGACCTATTTTGAAGGCTAAGTTGCTTCCAAATGTTTAAAAACTAATCTAAATTGGAATTTACAGAAGAAAATATGAACAAAGATGAACAAACTTAGGCTAAGGCTATGAACTAATCTGGAAAATCTGAAAAATCTGGAAACTATTGTTGAAATCTGGAAAATGCAATCTGAAAGTTGAAAAACATGCTCTAGGCAGTCTGTGTGTGTGTTGGGCAGGCCTCAAACTGTTCTCTTCTCTCTGTATTTATTTTCTTCGGTGCTG